ATTTGGGAATTCCCCTGAAAAGTTAAAAACAATCAAACCTTTGTCAGAGTAGCCCTAATTTTGGAGGTAGGTGAAAAAAAATAGCAAAGTTAGCTTAGGAAAGCATTTTCTTGGTTTGTTTTTTAATAAAGTTACGACGCAGTGAGGATCTTACATAGCTTGGTCATATCCTTTTCCTTACTTTTGTCTTCAGTTGCAAATCTCCTGTGGTATGAGTCACATCTCTCTGAAAGCATGCATACAGTAGTCAGCACAATCCCCCGCCCCTATTAACGCACCAGAAAGAAAAACTCCTCTCAACTTTTTTTTGTTACTAGAGCTACCTTAAAAAGGAGGGTCAAGGGTCAGCAGAAATGACCCAGAGCCTGTTAAAAGTCAGTAACAGTTTGAAATAAATGTAATTATGAGATGTGGAAAGAATATCTCACTGGAATGCTGATGTTCTAAATCCAGAGTCTCAAAAATAAGAGGGCTGAGCTGGCAAATGGCAGCCCTGCTGCAACCGAAATGCACTATCTTGCTATATTTAAAGACAATACCTCAACAGTTAAGTATTGGAACATTTTAAGTGAGATAAATAAGCATAAGACACAGGCAAATATCCTCGGTTATTTAATCACCCTGAAAGCAGTGTGGAAGTGTGAGGGGGAGTTCAAAGGTCAAACTCTTCTTTCAGCTGCTTGCAAAGAAAAGAAAGCTTAGCCCATTTTACCTTAGGGAAGGGGGGCCGGGGCCGTTCTTCCCATATGCCAGTACTAGTTACACATTTCATAACACAGGAAAGAGGGAGTGTATTTACATATACAGTGCATGGAATCTTTTACTAGGACAATGAATTCCATATCAAGATTCAGGTTGAAAGAGTTGGGACAAAAGAGTCCCAAAGAACAAAGGGAAGTTAAAATTTACTTCGCATTTCCCCAGAGCTCCTTAGCTACAGAGAAAAAAAAAAATCTGAGGGTTTGTAATTAAGAGCTTATTGTAATCACCATTTTGAAAGTCAAGTGAAACTCACGGTTCCCGTTCATTTAAAATGAGATACTGATCTATCAGCGCAGCTCTAAGTGGAAGCTCAGCAGCGAGGGGAAGATACTTTCTGAAGGTTAGAAGTACTCAAAAGGAATTTTTAAATGTGATCTCATGAAAGGGGAAACCAAAATGAAGTAACCTTTTGTAAGACAGCCTGACAAAGGTGCTAAGGTTTATTAGCTTCCTCTTCCTAGCCCCCACCCTACATCTTGTCCCCCCCCCCAGCTGCTACCTAAACAAAGAAAGACATATTCCCTTAAAATGAAGAGGGGAAAAAAAACCACCTCTAATCCAAAGCCTGGAAGCCATTCTGTAAAGACTACTTAATGTGAAACTTTGTTTACAAGATACAAATATAGCCCTCTCACCACAGTCAAAACCAGAAAACATCCACTTATTTAAAGAAATACTTTTTCTATTTTGATCAGCGAGAATGTAGGTACTCATTTTAAATTTAAATTCGCCTCAGTAGTGCCATATGAATGCTTCAAATTCATGTATGATATGCACTGTTTGAGAATGTTTAAACAAAGGAAGTAGGAAAAGCCTCAAAATACACAGTAAAACTTAATGACTTCAATTTAAAAATACATACTGATTGCAGCACGGCAGAATTATTCTCTTCTGCTCACAGCCAGCCTTCAGAAAGGGTGAGAGCAGGCAGTGGAGTAATTTGTCCCACTGGAAATTCTGTATAAAACATCTACCTAAAATAAACAAGGCTTCGCAGCAAGAATCGTCAACTGCCATTAAGGACACACCTTAAAGTTCTTACCACACAGTAACGAAACAAGTACAAACTAGTGGGGACTGTTCGCTACTTTTGTCTGAAAAGTTAATGAGATCAATTCACCCCTCAGTATCAGATCTTAAGATAGTTTTCCTAAAAAGGCAAGCGACAAACAACCCCCAAAGACGAATAGCCAGCACTCGGGTGCCTGAAGTGTTATCAGAACGCCCGAGGTTCTTGTAAATACGCATATAAATATTAACATTTAAACCTGACACCACCTAATACTAGAAGGTAAAACGCTGAGCCTCTGAGAACGCTGCTGCTCGGGTACTGGAAGGCAGCTGTTGTTCCCCTGCCTTTTCTTTTGTTGTGCTTAATCTCATGTCAAGTCATTCAACCAACTCCAAAGCGATGAAGACATAATTGAACAGCCTTAACTAAAAACTGATCTACTGTTCTTAAATAGCTCCAGATATCGCTTAACGAGTCTGGAAGACCCACATATTTTAAGGGAACCTACAGAATTTAAATCAGCAACTCTGGTGCATGCAGAAGAGTTGCTTGGCTGCGGGCCAAGCCAATCAATAATCACTGTAATAACCACGTTTCTAAAGTTATTCTCTTTTCATATTCATCACTCCAAAAACTTCAAGCAGAATCTCCAAACTCAGTGCTGATCTCGAGCAGTTAAGATGCAAAACCCAGACGCTTCACACAGGATTACAGTATTGCTCTTTTTTCAAAGAAACATCATAGAAAGGTTAGTGATCACAAAGGCACATTCTTGCCACAGATCTTAAAATATTGACTCTGTTACAGAAGTAGTTAAAGGGGAAGAAAAAACACCTCCTCCACCCTTCCCCTCTGCCCTCCCCCTGCCAAAGAATGCAGTTTATCCTACTTATTTAAAACCGTCCTTCTGCATTATCCAAGGAAACGCTTAAACCTTAGTGTGGACATCACAAATTAAAGTCTTAGCCGTATTCCCAAACCTACAGTAAATAAAAGCTCCTAAGAGCAATAAAACATGGCGTTTAAGCATTTGCAAGCCATTGTCATAGCACCGAGCTCTGATACCTTTGCAGACACAAAACCAGCCCCCCAGCACGAGCATGGAAGCACTGGTCAGCAAGTCAATGCCTGCTATTCAACTTGTAGTCAGGCGTTTGAGTTCTGTGTCTTCCAGATCATATCACTGCTGCATTTCAGGGCCTAATAAAATGTGAAGAATGATATGTTCTCTTTCTAACCGCATCTGAAACTGCGTTATTTCCCTCTCCTCTTTTTTCACGCGTTCTTACAAAAACTTCCTTTTTCACATACTTCTATAAGAAAACATCTCACTGCACCTCCTTCGGTTCCTATTTCTATTTTCGATTTTCACTGCGTGCTTCTGCTGCTGCCTCCCCCTCAAACCCACCGCTGGAAACTGGGGTAGTTTTAAAGCTCTCAAGGTCATTCCAGAAACAACAACAGAAAAATGTTGTTGCCCCCCCCCCCCCCCAGAAAAAGAGAGAGGAAAAAAACCTTTAAGCACACAAAAACCCCCAGACTAAACCCTTTTCAAATCCAAACGCCTTTCAGCAGCAGATCAATAACACAGCATAAAGATTTTTGTTCGCCACCACTTCAAAACTATTACGCTCCAATTCAGATACTTACAGGAGTCACAGCACGTTTGGGGGCGGCTCATTAGAGCTCAGGGCTCACCCTGCTGCAGGTTTCTGTGCGGGGAACAAACAAAAACCCCACACCCAGAACAGAAAGTCCGGTGGGTATCACGGAACAGAGTGAAACCCAACCCGCAGATATCCCAGAATTTTATTGTCCTCGCACGGCAACGTCTTTTGTTGCTCCAGAAGTCAGTCGGAGCTTATTTATTTCTACCCCAAACTCACGGTTCCCCTCGGAGATCGGTAAATAAGAGGAGAAACGCGATGCCAAGACGCGGCCGCGACTCAGCCTTCAGAGGAGGGAGGCAAACGGCACAAAAAAAGCTGGCAGAACGGATCGATAAACTTTTCCTTCCCTCCCCCCCTCCCCCCCGCCCCACGAGCCACTTACTACACAGCCTCCTTCCAGGCACATCTCGGCTCACAAAGGAGCTCAGCTCCTCCCGCGCCCCGCAGCCTCGCTCCGGGGTGACGGGGGGGAACACCTGCACGGGGGGCCGGGAGGAGCGGGGCTGCGTGCCGGGTGAGCGGCTCGTTACCTGCTGCTGCTCCGCCAAGGGAGGGGCGAGGCCGCTCACCTGCCCCCCGCCCTTCCTCCTCCTCTTCCTCCTCCTCAGCCCCCCCGGGGCCGGGACAGCGCTGCCGCTGGGCGCCCGCAGCCTCACACGCGTGGGCCCCGCCAGCCACACGGCTCTCAGGTGCCGCCGCGTGAGGGGAAAGAGGAGGAAAAGGGAGGGGGGATGGGAGGGGGAGGCCGGGGCCCCGCTGGAAGCCGACCCTCAGACCTCCCTCACCTGTGCCTGAGCCGCCTCCCCGGCCGGCATCCTGAGGTGGGGCAGGAGGGAGGAGGGAAGCGAGGGCGGCCGCCCGCGGTGCCGCCGGAGCCCGGACTCGGCGACGCTGGCGCTCGGGGCACTGTTTGTAAACCGCTCCCGCCGCAGCTGTTGCTCGGGCAGCCCCCGCCGAACGCCCCGCCCCCCCCCCCCCCCCGCCGCCGCCAGCCCCGCCCCGCGCCTCGCTCCGGAACGCCCCCTGCCGGCGGGGCGGGCTGCGGCTCGGGGCCGTTGGGCCGGGGCCGTGCGGTGCGGCGCGGCGCGGGCAGGGCGGCCTTTGTATGGCGGAGATGGCGGCGTGCCGCGAGGACGGGCGGCACCGGCACCGAATGCGGGCCCCGGAGGAGCCGCCGCCGCCTTGCACGTGTCAATCCGGCCGTAGGCCGCGGGAGCCTCATCCTGTGCTCGCTGTGGGTCCTCCAGAAGCGAAGCGGGCTGAGGGAGCCCAAAGAGCCGCTGAGTGCTGCGCAGCACTACGTTTGGTGATAAATAAATGTCACGGCAATAAGCCAAATAAATATCACGGCAATAAACTACAGCATCGCACACACGTGTATGCAGCGCACGGAGGACGCTCCGTGCCATGAGGGGAAAAGGAGCAAATGGCGGCGTGCCGCTGCTGCGCTGGATGGGACGGCTGGGAAAAGTGCCCTGAACAGAGCAAACACAGCCAGGCGGTTCTGTGCTCCGTGCCGCTCTCACACAGCACTCAGCTCCAAGGGCTGGCACCGCTACTTCTATAAAGGTGCGGATGCTAAACTGGGCCTAAGTGAACCTGGCGAAGAATTGTAGCAATTTTTTTGCTATTCCAGTTGAAAACGAGGAGCTTTGATGACTTGAATCCACAATGCTGTTGGCAAAGTGCTTAATCTCTGCTAGACCTGAGGTTAGCACCTTCCTCAAGTAAATGGGATATGAGAGAGACGAGATTTCCACGTGTCTGCTTCTCCCCCAAAGGCACACCAAGACCTGTTCCAGTTGGTTTGGTTCATGTTAGTGAGCTCACACGGGTATCAAACCCAGCAGCCCCGATGGAGGACACTTCTCAAAGAAATACAACCAAAAGTAGGTGGATTTTTACTTTTTTACCTTTGTTTTTCCCCCCCCTCAAACTTCTCCCAACCTAAAATGAACAACACTACTCTGGTTGAAACTGAGGTCACTCGTATGTCGTACAAAGATTAATCAAAGAACTTTCCGAATGTGGCAATACACTCACCACACTATTCTGGAAGATGAAATATCTCTATTGGTAAATTTGAATCTTGCATCACACCAACTTGAAATGGAATTCTTTTAATGAAAAGAAGACCACAACATATAAGGCCAAACTTTTAGAATTTCTCTGTCTGTGACCTTCAATTAGTCATACAGGGAGACGGTGTGCCCTTATACTAGTTTCCTGACGGTTAAAAAATACCTCTGTGAATCTGCTGTGCAAACTGAGACCGGGGGTTTGCCTTAGTCTGCTTCTGCACAGGTTTGAGGCATTAGGTTTTGGCCCTCCCACTGGTTGATACAGGAGGGAATTGTTGTAGTGGCTGTTGCACAATGAGCATTTTTAGTTGATCTTTTTAGGTGTGATTTTTGCAGAATGATGGGTCTGAACAAGACGTCTGTGCACACATGCAAAATATTACACTTTTTTTGCAAGAGCTTCACATTTCTTTCTAAGTTGCTGCACATTAATGTGTACTATGTAACCAAACCTGATTCCACAAACACTCCCAGGGCGAAGCACAAGAGCAGCAACTTCAGTGGGACTTGCATGTGTGTTTCAGTATCGATTATTTTCCATTGGCAGCAAGGCAGAAAGAACAAAGCCGAATTTCAGTGAGGGTGGGTGTGAGTTGCTAGTTTTGCTATACTTGGTGTTCTGAGTCATGTGACTCCTTAAAAGTCACGACTGCTAAAAGTGCAGATTTTATCATTTAAAAGTCCTTATATGAAGACTTGAAACAAGTTCAGTGCCCAAAACCTTTAAACAAACAAACAAACTCTTCTGCCTTTCCTTTTACCCTCTAACTCTGCCTCCTGCAAAGCTCTCTGAGTCACATTTTACAGTATATATTGTTCTCATGACATGCTAACACTCATCTCTTTCCCCCCTTTCATTTTTCACCCCTTTTTGAAATAGTCTGCTCATCCAGGTAAAGTATGCTCACCTCCTTAAAGCCACGGGGTGTTCCGCTGGAGCCAGGACTCTGGGTGACCATAAACATGATTGAACAGAGAACACAGAAGCCGTGTGGTTTTTATCCACTGAGATACGATACCACCATGGAAAACGTAAGAAGGTAAAAGGATTGTTTCAGGAAAAAAATGAGAGGCTCAGCATATCTCTAAACTTTTTTTTTTTTCCCCTCAAAATGCATCATATAACATCATATCACATGACTGAACTGAAAACATCCAATTTATTTTTACAGATTAGCCACAATGACCCCCATGATTTATGCTCATGGCACTGGAGATGTTTGATATGAGGCAAGGGCCAACTTGTAAAAATAAATCTCATATTTTCTCCCTGAGTTTTTTTTGTGCTGGGGACATTTGCTGCTTTTCTGGAGAATCTTCAGCACTTGGTACATTATGTATGGTGTAAAAAATTTGACAGCAAACACACAGGAAAGGCTGACAGACCTGTGTTTACTGTATTGCACTGTATGTTACTACACAGTCTGCAATATTAAACCCAACTCCAAACTAGACTTTGGAACCAGGCAGCAAGCCCAAAGTTGTGATAATCTCCTCCGTAACAGCAGAAAAAAATAAAATAACATTGCTGAAAGTTGAAATGTTTAGTTTCAGTCCCAAAACTCCTAATGTACTTAAATTTGCATTTATGTTCTTTTGAATTACATTATGTAAATTTACATTCTTTAAAAAAAAATCGTGCTGAAAGTCTTGTAAACTGGTTCAAGCCCTGCTCTACTGCACATCAGAAAACACTGCTGTCAGAGAGAATGAAAACAGAGCTGACCAAGCAACAGGAAACCTTTACCTAAAATTAAGTCTTCCGAGAGTTACCATGGGTGTTTGTTTAAAATTACTGGTCTGAGCAGCAAAATATCCAGGCAATACCTGGGAGCAGGAGATCAGTCAAGCTTCGTTCTTTTGCACGGGGGCTCTCAATTTTAGAATCACATGTAAGCAGCTATTAAATACGGGCTGCAGTGTGGTTAGGGCACAAATGGGATTTTGGGGATCTGGGCTCTGTCCCAGTGTGGCCACAGACTGTCTGTGTGATCTTGGGCAAGTTGTCTCACAAGCACACAAAATCGGGCAGGTTTAAAAAAAAAAGAAAAGAAAAGCCCTGCTTGAGCAATCAAGCCATTATATGAAACTCTCCATATGCTGGCATGAATGGATAAATAAAGTAAATATGCAGTGTTTTTGCTTTTAAGGAGATAAGCTCAAAACCATGCTCGGAGAGTAACCTTTAATGGCTCAAAGCTAGAGAACAAATTTCAGAAGTGTTTTGTTAGATGATTTTGTGCCATAAGTTTGAATACAAAATTCTACGATATTCATTTATGCCCCACAGTTTTTATTTGTAAAATCGGGATCATTTTACTTCTTTGCTTACAAAACTATTCATAAATTGTTTGTGAGATATTCAGCTGAGAGTAGAAAAGAGACAGACTGATGAGAAAGCTTTATCAGTGTTCTGTGGCTTGTTTTTGAATTTCCCCTTCGCACAAATTACGTCTTTCAGCATTATTTCAGCAGCGACTAAAAGAAAATCCAATCGTGTCAGATGATTCTCATGTTTTTGCCTCTGCAGAAGCGCACACAGTGGTGTGTTTACAGGAAACGCCTGCTGCAGGGGCAGTTTGGTAGTTAGGCACGGTCTCAGATTTGACTAACATGCTCACATGATTAGGTTTACTAAATGAAGACACAGATGAGGCAGTGATGAGAAAGCTGCAAGCAATCAGGTTCTTGCAACATCAGATAATCCATGGAGCGACTCTGTGCTGTAGCCATGCACGAGGCTCCCTCCCCCCCAAGAATGTGCCCTGCTCTTGCATTAGCAGCTATCTCCTCTCTGCAGATTCAGTTACCAGCCTCCCTCTGTCAGCAGCAGCAGCTTGGGGGGTTGTGGTTTTGTTCTCCCCCACCCCCCTATGCATTTTAGGCCAAAGTGCTGCATTCTTTAAAAATGCATTTGTATTTCTAAGGTTTTGCCACACAACTAAAATTTGTAGGTCTAGTTAACTTTACCAGCAGCAAATTTAACATAGAACTGTTTATTTTTATAATGAGAAAGAAGCTGCAGATTTTTTTCTTCCAGTATTTTATACATCCTGTCTGTATAAACACATAGATTCAAGTCCTGTGGGGCACGCTGGCAGTACAGCTATTAAAGATTTTCTATTTGACCTTGATTTTGTTTTCACTGAGTATGAACTTTAACAGACTTGAAGCATGACACGCCGTTTCTTTTCATTTCTCACAAGCACATGTAGTGTAGGAGAAGACGTAAACAGAAGCTTGTTCAATAGCATGTAGATTTCACAGCAAAAATGCATCACTTTCTCCCAGCTGATTTTGCTCAAGGTACAGTTTTATTCCTGTACTTGGTTCTGCAAATTTCCGTTTTCAAAATGAGGGCACACTGTGATGTGAATGTTCTCTTTTCTTATAACTACTGGGTAAAAGGTCTTTGGGATCTTACTGTCATTTAAGTGCACGTGAGTTGGTTGATAACATATATAACATTAGTAATGAGAGCAGCAAAGCACTACTGTGGTCACTAAAGGAAAATAAGGATTTGCATGGAGAAGTCGTGTCTCTCATTGGAGTGATGCAGCTGGAAGAGAGGAGGGCTGGTGCACAGCAGCTCTTCCCTCAGGACTGAAAACAGAAGCAAACTCCAAGCGTGCACAGACTGTACTGTGCAGGCAATGAAAAGAAACACACGGGTGAAATATAAGCTGTGGAAAAAAACAGATGAATAAACTGAAGATCCTGGAGTCATACTTTCTGCCCCAGATGTGCTCTGCTACCAGGAGCAGAGGCCCTAAATTTTTGTTGCAACTTTCCAGATTGTCCTCTCTGCTATCACCTGGCCTTTACTCTGAATATCAAGGGTCAGATCTATTGGTCTGTTATTCCACTCTCTTCCTTGATTAGTTTGGGCTTCCAGTTTTCTCACTCTCAGCTTATAAACTACTTCTTTCCACTTCTTAGGCTATGGCAAAAATAAGAATGCAGCCACCCAAGCTATTTAGCAATTGACACTACTTGTCAAATAGTGAGAAATTTTTCCCATTAAAAGCCCAGCCCTGAGCAGACTATTCACGTGCAGAGATGTAGGTACACAATGAACTGGCTCTAAGATTGAGGCCTAAATGTATTGTTTTGATAAGATTGTATGCTTAAACATTTAATAATAAAACATTCTTCCCTCCACGTGTTCACTCTTGTTACAGAATAGTTTGGTTTACAGCAAGGTCCCAAACCTTGCAGAGATCACAGGCCTGAAGGACTTTGCAGCCATGTTTCCATTCCATCACTTGAATGACGCTGTAAATGAAATTCAGGTGCCACCTTTTTCTTCGCTTCTCCTTTTGGGATTGTTTTCTGTTTTGCCTTCCATTAAAAGCTTTCTCTTTGTTTTGCTCTTACACAAATGGAACTGAAATTTCAGACCCGCTAACAATGTTATTTACATTGTGTTTCAACCTACGTTGTGTATTCCCAAAATAATGGAAATAGGCCATCTGAGCATCTCAAGACGTTCCTAAAGGGAGGTGCTATCTCCAGGTGAGTTCCTCCCACTGTGGGAACTGTGGCATTCGAAGACACAGTGCCTTCAGGAGCAGTGGTCACTGCTGCTGGGACCTGAATGTGAAGGCTGAGCTGCAGGAACTGAACCACAGACAAGGAAACAAAATTATCTGCCTGTGGGTAGCAGTAACAGAGGGACTGGAGATGTTCATGCATATTGATTCAGAGTTAAGGAAGTATTCACCTTGTGGTTGTTTTAAGATTGTCACAGATACTGTGAGATGCACTGTGATCAGTTAAATGAGTCTCTGGACACACACGAGAGCTGCTCCAAAAGTAAAGCCTCCTATTTTATGATGTTGGCACATGATGTCAGAGGCAGATGGTGGTGGGGTGGTGGTAAGGGTTGAACCTTCCTGCCACTACATTTTGTTGCTGTGTGACAGCTGGCAGCAGAGGGGCAGATTGACAGATTGGTGTCTGATGTGGGAGTGTGTAGGGAGCAAAGGTACAGAACTGTATTCTTCCATGTGGAAAAAAATGGCATGCACTGACATTTGCTGACACTTGCTGAACATTTATGGAGACCAAACAGTGGATAGTGGCACAGTGAGGCCATGGTGGTGTGTTTCAGCAGTGGTGACAAGGACAGTCACTGGTGCAGATCGTTATGAGTGTGGTATGCAGGCTGGTGTTCATCACTGGTGAGAACACACAGCAAATCGTGTTCTGTAGCTGAGAATTTACTGTATCAAATGGTGTGATTGTGCCCTTTGTATCTACTGTAGTCTCCGCTGAAATAAATGGGAGGCGTTACTTTCAGTGCGACCTTTTGCAAAACTATTTACCTTAGAGTGCGTCCTGTCATTCAGCTGTCCTGCTATCACAGCTCTTTAACAGCTGGATTGTATGGCAGAGAGGATGGGAAACAAAAAGTAGTTTTGTCACTCCGTCATAAACTTTCAGCGTTACAAATAATAATTGTCTCTCCTGCTCTGAAAGTGCCGATGTGTTAATAATGGATGATGGGATTCTTGCACATGTGCTTATTAATTTATAAACACTGCATGGCCTCCCCATGGAAGGTGCTCTATAAATAGAAAGCTAATATTGATCACTCCTGAAGTGGAATTACCATTCTGGGAGGGCTGCAACGGTTTTTTTCCCTAATCCGATAACAGAAAGAATTCCGTGAGCTTGTTCTCTTTGTTATCATTACTTGCTTCTTGCTACGCTTGCAGCCTCATCCACGCTTCCTCCTTGTATCAGAAATGAAGGGGAAAAAAAAATCTGAGGCTTTTTAGCGTTTAGAAATGCCATCGAGCTGGTATGGCAAAAATGCGCATTTGAAAGGGTATATAAAAAAAGGACGGGCGCTCGCTTAAAACGAGGTATTAGCATGACAGTTGACAAAGGCATGGTATGCTGCCAGATCTCACCGGTTCCAATCCTAGTTAATGAGATCAAGTATTCCTTGATCTGAGCAAGAGATAGTTACCCCAAATATTCCGAACACCGGCAGCAAACTGCTTCAACTGCTTCCCCATTTTGAGAATTATTGCTCAGACAGCATGAGAAGATATCACCTTCCTTCAGGCCGCGTTAGCTTTCTCCCCTCTCCCCGCTGCCCGGTAACCCCAGCCCTTTCCCCACATTTGCTGTTTGTTTGATGTTCATTTTTCTGCTTCCCCGTCCTCTCGCAGTGCGCAGGGTGGAGAGGCCGACCAACAGGTGATGAACATTTGCAGCCCGTGCTCTGCTCCGAAGGGGGAGGGAGAAAAGAAACACACTTCCCAGAGCTAAGAACCCTTCGAGCCACTTTCAAAATCAAGCCCCAAGCGCTCTCTCTGCACACGGATTCCCCAACTTCTACCATGCTGACTTGCACTGACATTCCCCAGACAGCCGCACCAGGGAAGCTCTGCCGAGAAGCTCAGCCCAGGCCTTCAGCTGCCTCACTGCACCAGCTGTGAGCTCAGCCCCACGATGCTCAGGAGGGGTTTTGCTTTCCCAGCCCATTACTGTTCTGCTGCCGTGGGCCGGCTGTGGCCTGGGAACCTTCCTTTCAGCAAGATGATGCCCGCTCACGTGTATAAGGGCAGAGTTTGGTGCTGGGGTTTGCTACGCTGGAAGCGCTCTGTGCGATTTGTGTCAGGATGCTATTCTGTGCAAATCATCAGATTTTGGCTCAATTTTGCCAATATTACACTAATTCCTGCATGACGTCTTTTCTGCTGCAAAAGGATTATTACTAAATAATGAAGTTCTTCTGAGCTTTTAATTCTTTTTCAATAAACTAACATAACTGGCCTTTTTTTTCCCTCTCACAAAGCCTGTGCACTGTAGCACACACAGAGAACGCACACAACTGGGAACATTTTCAACTTCAGTGACTGAAGTCAGACAGGAATGAAGGTGAATTGTTCCATGGAAGCAAATGCAAAAATTAAACCATCAGAAATGAAAGGGCAA